CGGCTCAGCTGCTCACAGTCATCAGTTCCCTGGGTCTCAGTTTCCTCATCAGTAAAATCTGTATTAACACCTGGGAGGATGGAAAGAGGTTAATAAAAATCCCTGATGCTTAGAAAGCACTCTGTGGATGGGCTGATCACCATTCCATGCCCTGTATCTGATGCTGGCCTGGGTCTCCTCCTGTCTCCTCGTGGCATTCTACTGCACAGCATCCATTCTCCAGGTTGCACTTGTCTCTTAAGAAACCTCTCCTGAAGAAATCCACACCATAATCTCTGGACCAGTCAGGCTCATTGATTGAACCAAATAGGACTCACTGGGTTCCAGGTAACAGAAACCTAGTTAAACCACCTCCCGGATACTGAAGTGTCTCATGGAATCTAAGATAAAAAATGAATAGCAAATCCCTGGGAAGAGCAGATCCAGGATCTTTGGGAAACCCTGGACCGTCCTCTCTCCTCTCCCCATCTCTCTCTCTTTCTCTTCTCAAGCTGCTTTATTCCCCCCCTCCCCCCAGTTAGGCATGTGCCCACAGTCCCTCCAAGCCACGGGTCCCCGCTGCCATTCCTAGAGCAAGCCAGATACAGCCCCACCTCAGGGCCTTCGCCTTTCCTTTGCCCTCTGCCCAGGACACCCTTCCCTAGATCTCGCCCATGGTTCATTACCTCCCTCCTTCGAGTCCTGGCTCAGAGGTCACCCCAGTGGCACTTTCCTTGACCAACTGATTGAAAATTGCAACTCAGCCCCCACCACCAGCATCCTCTAGTCCCTCCCTCACTTGCTTGCTTTTTTCTTTAACCTAGGCTCACCAAAAATAACGGGAGAGTGGGTTTAATCATAATCTTTGGGCCATAGCCCATTCTCATCAACATTTAATGATTACATTTAATAATGTAATAAACACCTGTAAACCACCACTCAACAAATACTGACTGCTCTGTCTGCGGGCCTTCCTCGCCAGCCAGGGCCAGCTGTGCATGTCACCACTGGAGTTTCTGTAATTTCACTCAGTTCTCAGCTGGCAGCAAATGACCTTTTACCGCTTGCCACACGACCCATGTCCTGCAGCCCCGAGGATGTCCCCTGATTTCAGCAGAATTCTCTGAGTTCCAGAGACCTTGCTTCACTCCCCGAGATGCCCAAACAGTCCTTCTTGCTGTTTCTTGTTTCCCACTTAAACTTCCCCCCCACTGCTGAAGGAAAGGTCACATCTGGTCCGTGCACCAGGACATAGAGAACTGGAGAGAATTCAGAAAAGCCTTAAGTCACTTGGCTCCTTGGGGTGGGGGGCAGGGGTGACCTTTGCCTCTCCGGACTCATACCCCAATTGTACATGATCTTGATGTGGTCTTCTTGTTCTATGTCCCACAGCACAGTTCCCACATCTCCGCTTCCCCTTCCAGGGGACCTAGCCCAGGGCTGGGAATACAGTAGGTGCTCAATAATGTCTAGTTACTTTCAGGCTCTTTCAAACACAAATCACATTAAATCCCTTTCAGCAACTCCCTATGGCTCTCAGGGTAAATATCTCAAATCCATGCTGGAGCCTACAAGGTCTGCATGGGGGCTCTGCCCACTTCATCTTACCCAATTCTCATCCCTGCTCCGTTCTCAGCGATCACTCCAGCCTCCTCTCTGTTGCTCTAACACACCAAGCTCTTTTCCACCCCTGGGCCTTTGCACATCCCTGTTCCCTGTGCTCCTCTTCCCACTTGTTTAGCCACATTAAGACTATGGATCCTTTGGGGAATAGCTAAAATGTCACCTCCTCTGAGAAGCCCTCCCTGACTCCCTAGACCTGATAGGACCCCTGTTAGAGGTCCTCATGATATCCTGAACTTCATGGCTCTCTTGCAAAATTTTGTAATCCTATTTTATGTGATCCTTTGATTCGTGTCTCACTCTCCCACTAGACTCTGAGAAACAGGAGAGCAAGAACCCTGCTGTGTTGGTTGTCTCTGTGTCTCTGCACATAGCCAAGTACCTGGCTCATGGGCTGGGTCTAGTATTATTTGGATGGATGGATGGACAGAAGAGTGAATAGATGGATGGGTGGATCAGTAGGTAGGAGAGAAGGAGGGAGGGAGGGTTCTTTTACAGCTGAACATACAGATGAATGGATGGGTGGATGGATGGATAGGAGAACAAAAAGTGAATTTGTCTCTTTCTGCCATTTTTCCATGCTGCTATAATGGTGCACATGAACACCCAGGCTGATGCTCTTAAGAGCATCGACAATGCCATGGGGTGTGGGGAGGGTATAGCTCAGCAGTAGAGCGCATGCTTAGCATGCATGAGGTCCTGGGTTCAATCCCCAGTACCTCCTTTAAAATAAATAAATATAAATAAATAAACCTAATTACCTCCACCCACCAAAAAAAAAGTAATAAAGTAAAAAAAAATGTTTTTTAAAGGAGCATCAACAATGCCAGGAAGAAAGACAAACTCTAGGTTCCTTTAGGTCATGCTCCAATGTCATCGTCTGGTTTCTAATTGTGTTGGTGACATATGGCTACCTTGGCAAATTAAAAATCACTGATGATCACAGGTCAAGAAAATCACTGTGAGCCTCACATGCAGGTTCAACAAGTGTGATCAGCTTCAGATCTGACATGGAACTCAAAGATCTAGAAAAGTGGCAGAACCATCTTCTCCCATCTCATCGGTTGGATTTCATGGTACTGATGGCCTCAGCCAGTATCATGGCTGCGAGGAAGCAAGACAGAAACACACAGAAGGGAGGATCCTGGGATTCTTCCACCAGGGATGTCATACGTACATACAATAAATTTAAAAAAGAGTTCATGATGGATCGCTTTTCTTTTGTTGGCTTCCCCAGTGGTGTCTGAGCCATCTCCCCAGTGGCTTGTGAGCTCCTTGGAGGCCAAATTCCTTTCTCCTCCTTGCAATCCCTTTCTCCCAGGATGCCCTGGGAGCAGGGTTTTGACTTCCAGATGCTCCACAGCCCAGATGAGAGGGGCCAGTAGGGTGATGTTGCACCAGATTCTCAGCTGGATACCATTCATTAGCCACCGGACAAACACAGCGACATCAGGATGATGCAGGAAGTGCAAAAGTGTTTGGAATCAAATCCCATCTCTACCACTTACTCCCTCTAAGTGGGAACTTGAGTAAGCCACTTAACCTCTTTGAGCTTCAGGAATTTTTTTTGTTCATCTGTAAAATGAGGACAGCATTACTGACCTTGTGGGACAATTGTCAAGACGAGTGAGCATTATGTAATATCTAGCATGTAACAGGCACTCAATAAACAACAACCTTATGTAATAAACACTAGCCACACCACACAAAGACAGTCTCTGACCTCATGGATGTCTCACTCTATCAGGGACAGGTTCCATTGTAGTGGCTAGTTGTGATATAGGGTGTCACATCAAAGATGGGTAAAGGAACACAGAGGAAGATGGGATGAGATCAGGGAAGACTACCTGAAGGAGGTGTCATTTAGTCAGACCTTAAATAGCATTATATAGTTGGGAGTCTTGGGTTCTTCTTTCCAACTTGCTGCTAATTTTCCATGTGACCTTGAGCCAGTTTCTGCTCCATCTTGGGGTCCCCAGATCTCCTTTCGTAACATAAGATTGTTCAACATCAGCTCTGAATCTTTTGGGTCCCAGCCTCCTTTGAGAAGAATCTGCTGAAAGCCAGAGCCCTTCTAGAAAAATGCACAGACCTGTAAGTTTGTCTGTAATGGGGGGCGGGGCTTCATGGACTTCCTCCCAGGAAGCCATCTGTGGACCCTAGACTAAAGTCCCAGAGCCCGGCGATCCTGTTGGAGCCGTAGCACTGCAGAGCTGGCCCTGCCCTCTAACAGAGCCTCTCTCTTTAGTCTGCAGCAGGCACAAACAAATAGAATCATTGGCCCAATCTGGAAAAGCCCATCGGGCACCAGGCTGCAGGAGATAGAAGGGGCCTGGGAGGGGAGGTCACTCCAGCTGGCTAGGGAACCAGAGTTCAGTTCTGGGAAAGCTCCCCTGAGCAGTCTGCCCCTGACCTCGCCTAGTTTATCACCATCTGCCCTGGAAGGGAGAGAGGAAGAGGAGCGTGGGCTGCTCTGGACAGGCTCCCAAACAGACTGCTGACCCCAGTCTGCCGCCCAGGCTGGAGTTCCCGGACGCATCCTTCATCTTCCCTAATCTAAACACCCGCAGGCCCCGGGTGGTCCATCCCCCTCCCAGATGATGTGTGTTCTCAGCTGCATCCAGCTTGCCAGAGGAGGGAGAGCTGGCCATCCCATTAACACTTGAGCTGCTGCCACCACCTACCTCCCTTTCCATCCAGCCAACACTCACCTAGCATTTATTGAGCACCTGTTGTTTACAAGCACCCCTGAATGAGAGAGCGCTGGGCCTACCCTTACCTTCCTCCACGGTCTCTGCCTCCTGGTCTTGGTCCCCCCACCCTGCTGGAGGCAAGATGCTGTGCTGTCTCACTTACCTGAGCAGGTTGGTTGCCTTGGGGAAGTGGGTTCTGGGGTGGCTAATTGCGTACTGGGAGGAGAATCAGCTCTAAGCAAAGTGGTTCTAAGCCACTATGAGATCCTGGGCCTATTCTTCACCCTCTGTGGGCCTCAGTCTTCCCACATGTGCACTCCAGATTCCGTGATTCCCTCTGCCAGCCCCTCCTCACTCCCTTCGCCCAGAATAGTGGAAGGAGCAAAGAAGCCTACCCTAGAACGCTTTAAGATCTTTCGTTAGACAATCTCTGGAACTTACTCATTCGTTCAAGCATTTATTGAGCATCTATTGTGTACCAGGCCCCGGTCTGGGCAACTGGAATGTAAAGATGACTAGGATTCAAGCAGGCGATCCATGGACACCTCACTCCATGCCTTGAGCCTCGTGGGGTCCCTGGTGGGCCTAGCCGAGGATATGGGGCGCCCAGGGACTCGCGTGTCAGCGCCGGCGGCGCTTAGGGCCGCGATCTGTCTCCTCCCCTTCCTCTTTCTCCGCCCCCTCCCCCTTCCCTCCCCTGAGCGCGGCCGCGGCCGCCTCCCACCCGCGGGATCCCGGCGTCCGGCAGCCCGCTCACGCGTCCGTCGGTCGGCGGGGTAGTCTGTCCACGCGCGGATAGCCCAGCGCCCCGGCGCGCGGCCTGGGAGGGCAAGGGCGCAGAGGCGGGACCGCGGCTCCCTCCCACTCCGGGGGGAGCCCAGGAGGCGGCGGTGCTGAAGCGTGAGCCGGGGAAGCAGGCAGAGCGGAGGAGAGGCGGTGAGAGCGCGGGGTGCTCAGGGACCCCACCCCCGGCTCCTGCGGGAGGCCCGCGCGCGCTTTGGGGAGGTCTGCGCTGGGAAAGGGGGGCTGTTATCCCTAGAGCGGGAGGCAGCTACGATCCAGCTCCCGGCTTCACCGCCTCAGTGACGCGACCCCCGAGGGGCCCTGGGCCGCGCCTGCAGCGCCGCGCATCCTCGCACATCCCCGCGCACCCTGCACCTCACGGCGGAGCGCGGGCCCCGGAGGAGGAGAGCGCTCAGGCGGCTGAGGAGGGGGCGCCGCAGGCGAGGAGGCTCGGAAAATCGCGCCCCAGCCACAGCCCTCCCTCCAGGCCTGCCCCAAGGGACCGCGACCAGGCGACCCCCTTTAGCCCCCCTTGCTGCAACCCCCATCGGCTCCCCATTGTTCTCAGCCATCGCTCTCCCGGGAAGGGGGGAGGGGGTGCCGCGCTCTGTTCTTAAAGGGCCCTCTCCCCGTCTTGTCTCCTGGCAGGTCGCGAGCACGAGTGGGGTGGGGCGTGCCCACGGGCCCCCGCCCCCCTCGTCCCCCAGCCCAGCTCCGGAGCCGCAGCCCAGGCCGGCGGCACCCTTCCCCCGTGCGTTCTTCAGCCACCCAGGCCTTCCAGGACCCGTGGATTGGGGTCAAGGGGGACAGGGACGCCCCCTTCAGCGGGAGCCGTCGGGGGAGGCGGACCCGAGACAAGGCAAGCAGCCCCACTGGAGCCAGGCGCAGGGTCTGGGACGCAGCTGCGAGCGCAGAGGGCTGGCTGGGCGCTGCAGAGAGCCGCGGGCTGGGGCTGGGCCTCCTGGGTGACAGGCCCTGCGCGGCCAGAAAGAACGGGAGACCAGCAGGCAAGAGCCCAGACCTAGAGTACAGGCGGCTGCCTCAGCCCCTTATCTGAGCTGAGGAAACCAAGGATTTTAGAGCATCATTCTCCCCAGCATAAGAAAGACGCTTGCTTTCCAGAGCAGCACCTTTGTCTGAGACAGCTCTGCCGGGAAGGGGTCCGTGGAGCCTGGAACACACCCCACACTCCTTTAACTGAGGCCTCTGGGCCTCAGAGAGGGCTGGGAGTTAGAAAGGAGGCCGGACAGTCCTTGCTGGACCCCTGGGGAGAGAAGAAGTTGCCTGCCTGCTCCCAGGCCCAGGAGGAGCTGGGCCACTAATAGTAGGGTCCTGGCCCCTGAGGCAGCAGCGGCCATGTCACGGCCAGGCCAGGGTGTGATGATGCCGGTGAACGGGCTGGGCTTCCCACCGCAGAACGTGGCCCGGGTGGTGGTGTGGGAGTGGCTGAACGAGCACAGCCGCTGGCGGCCCTACACGGCCACCGTGTGCCACCACATCGAGAATGTGCTCAAGGAGGATGCCCGTGGTTCCGTGGTCCTGGGGCAGGTGGACGCCCAGCTCGTGCCCTACATTATTGACCTGCAGTCCATGCACCAGTTTCGCCAGGACACAGGTGAGTGGACTTGCTACCCTCCCCACCCACCCCCTGGGCCAGGCGGAGACACAGATAACCACCACCATCACCATCACCACCACCACCATCACCTTTCGTGGTGGGAGGCTGAAATGCCTCTGGCATCCTTGAGGAGGGAACCAGGAACAGTGGGAGGCCAATATGCTGATCCAACCCACTCCACCCAAAAAGGGACAGTCTAGCCTAGTCCAATTTAAGACTTGAGTTCCAATCCAGCCTCTTATATTAGGTGTAGGGCTGTGGAAAAAGTTACATCACTTCTCTGAGCCTCAGTTTCCTCATCTGCAAAGTGGATGGATCAGTGTTTCTCGCAGCTGTGTGAGGATTAAATAAAATTCTGCGCACTGAGCACAGAATCTACAAGAGCATTAGCACTCAATCATCATAGTAAAAGAGTTTTCTGTCTACTTCCTCATTTGACTTTTTCCAACGGTCACAGCTAGTCTTACTGTTATATAAGTAGTAGTGGGAGTCCCATTTTACAGATGAAGAAACTGAGCCCCCCCCAAAGCTGAGTAATTTAAACTCAGAGCTGGTTAGCCCAGACAGTTGATTTCCAGAGCCAAAACTCTTGACTGGTATCTTAGACTGGCTTTAAGTATTGGTGATGTTGGGGTGATGTGATGGTGGTTGTAATGATGGGGGATGAAGGAGATGCTGGTGTTGATGATGGCAGGGGTAGTAACGATGGAGGAGATAATGTTGGTGGTGATGCCAGTGGTAGTTTGGATCGTGGAATTGGTGGTGGTGGTGTTGATGGTTGTGTTGGTGGTGGTCTTAGGAGACGTGTGATAGAGTGATAATGATGGAGAGAATGAGGCTGGTGACAGTCTTGGTGGTCATGTGATAGGTGATGATGGTGATAAAAATGGTGAGGGCCCACTCTCAGCATTTTGTTCACCACCACTATGGAGATCTCCCTGAGTCATTGTTGCCTGGTGGTCTCTGTGACAAGCTTGGTGGGCAGTGGGAGATGGGGAGTTCCTGCCTCATGGAAGCTGCCAAAGAATCCTTGGCATGTTCACCCCCGAGGACCAGCTGATGGAGGTTTGAAGGAGTAACTATGAATCCTTAGAAGACAGAACTTTGAGACAGTAGGACCCTTTCCTTCTCTCTAGAGCTGTGCTGTCCAGTATGGTGGTCACTAGCCACATGTAACTAAGTTAATTAGAATTAAATGAAACTTAAAACTTAGTTCCTCAGTCCCACTAGCCACACTTCAAGTGCCCAGTAGCCACATGTGTCTCATGGCTACCATATTGGAGCAGAGGTCCAGAACACTGCCATCATCACAGAAAGTTCTAGTGGATAACTCTGCTGTAGACCATTGCTTGGTACCTACAGAGTGGCCACCAAGTATGGACACACAGGTGAATTCATATCAAATGGTTTGTCAGTGTTACTTTTCACTACATCTGTGTCCCAGAACTTCAGTTATTAGCTGCATTCAAAAGTGGTGCCAATCATTCATTCATGCCCTCATTGATCATTTATTGTGTGTCAGACCCTGTGCTTAAGCACCAAAATTCTACAAGGAGCAAGACAGACAGGCCCTTAGTAGAGGTCTACTTGTGGAGGACCTGTGCTGGAGATCCCAGTGTAGTCGAGGAACAAGAAAACACAATATCTATGCAGGTCACCAGTTGCAAGTCTGAGAACATGAAATAATCCTGGTCTAGGGGTGGTCCCAGAAGGCTATTCTGAGAAAGTGGTGTTTGAATAGAAATCTGAAGAATGAGTGAGAGGGACAGTGTTCCCAGCAGAGGGAGCAGCGAGTGCAAAGGCCCTGTGGTGGGAAGGAGCAGAGGACATTCAAGTCCATTGGGTTTGGAGTGCAGTGGATGACGGGAAGGTGGTACAAGATGAGACTGGTGCATACAGCCCTGGACTGCCATGAAAAGGGCTTTGAACTTTATCCTGAGAGTAGAGAAGGTCACCATCGAGTCCTCATGCTCATTCTTCTAGAGACGCAGACCCCTGATGGAGAAGTGGTAGGTGTCTCCTGCCCCATTCTCTCTGGTTTATGCCGAACGATCTCTTGAGGGAGGGCAGGGGTCTGACTGCAGAAGGAGTGTGTTTTCTCTTTGGCTCAATGTTTGTGGTTTTCTGCAGGTTCAGAGCTAGTGCTGGGTAGGGAAACTTTCCAGGGCCTGGCTTGTGGTCCTCAGAAGCAAGGATAGCCCTACCCAAGGCTGCCAAGTTGGCCCTGTTTGTCTTTGATTCCCCCACCCCCACCCCCCACTTTCAAGGGATCCTTTTTTATTCCCAGCATTCCTACTTGGGTTTCTAGCTCCCCAAACTCCATTCCCCATTTCAGCAGGCCCCTTACTCTCAATGGCACCCCTTTTATGGCTCAACCTCGCTGGATCCCCCAGCAGTTCAAGTTCAGTCACTCCCCGCACCGCAACCCCTTCTCCCTTCCCTGGGGCTGTTCACTCCACACCTGCCCCCTGTTTGCAGGAAAAGGGAAAAAAAGCACTCATCTCTCCACTGGCCCCTGGGCTGTTCACTCCACACCTGCCCCCTCGTTTGCAGGAAAAGGGAAAAAGCACTCATCTCTCCACTGGCTCCTGGGAGCCTGCCAAGACCCCCCAGGGAGGGAGGAAGGCCTGGAAACCAATGGGGCCAGCATGGGACCTAGGATGCTCGGAAAACTGCAGGAGAGAGGGGAAAGCTGTCTCCCACCAGACATGTTATAACGTGCTCACCCACTTCTGCCAGGAACAATACAGTGTCAAGGAACGACATCACTTGTCTTCACTCTTAATGGTCCAGGGAAGAGCATCAAGCAGGTGTTGTCACCTCCTCAGGCCTCAGTTTCCACATCTATGAAATGGGAAAGAGCATTGCTTTGCTAGCAGGATTGTTGACTTGATGGAGAGAATCATACATGTTATTTTATCCCACAAACCTTAACTAATTACTCACCATGTGCCTAGCACGTGCTGAACACTACAGATACACAAGAGATGAGTAGGAGGTCCCAAATCTTGAAAATGTTGTGCTACACACACATGCATACACACACACACACACACAACAATATAAAGTTGTAAAACCCAAAGCTCGCATATATGTACTGAAATGAACACAGCCTCTATTTAGATATTTCAGTTGTAAAATTCTTGACAAGTTCTCAGAAGCTGAACTCTAAGTTTTGGGGGGAGATAGCAGCATGCCCCAGCTTCACTGCACCCTGATATTAGAGCCGCAGACTTTCTGATACAGTCAGATAGTAAATATTTTACCTTTTGTGGGACCTACAATCTCTGTTGTAACTGCCATTATAGCCTGACTGCTGCTATAGTTTGAAGGCAGCCATATATAGCATGCAAATGAATGAATGTGGCTATGTTCTAATAAAACGAGTTGCTGCCACTGAAATTTGAATTTCATGTCATTTTCACAGGTCATGAAATACTCTTTTTATTTTTCAACTGTTCGTAAAAACCACTCAGCTTGTGAGCGGTGCAAAAGCAGGCAGTGGGTGGATTTGTTCCGTGGGCTGCAGTTCACCAACCCCTACCCTAATATATTCTTAACCTGCCCGCAGGGTAGGACATTGCTGGTGTTAGGATGTACACAGCGTGGTATATAGTGCAATACCTGTGGCATGGGCCAAGGGGCACATGGGTGTGCATACACACACACGGCACCCACCTGCTTGTATGCCGCTGACACACAAATGCCCTGTATATATGCCTGTCATGCGGCCAATGGAAGAAAACCCAGGTATCAGGCTTGGATCACAAGGGAGGGGCTAGGCCCCCGTCCCATGGGGCTCCTGTTTGTTCAGCCGATGCCCCCTCACCTCTCCCCTGCTGGGCTGTTTTCATCGCTCTCTACAGAGGGTGAGGTTCCCTTTGAAGCCCTGCAGGTCTGGAGCCCACGTGGAGGAAAATGCTGTGACCCTGGGCCATGTGATGTTAGATTGCTCACGGTGGTGTCACCGGCATAGGCTGGAGGGGAAAGCCGGGGTCGGGGGAGGGGGGCAAGAAGTAAGGCGGGTGTTCCCTTCCCAGGCATGTGTGCTGCGATATTGGTGATAATCTTTCCGCTGCGCCACGCGCTGTTCCCCTAAAGCTTTCCTAGTCTCTCGTCTTGAGCCGTCCAAACTGAGGTTTCACAAATGGAAAGACCAAGGCTTAGGGGTTTGTCCAGGTGGGCGGGGCAGCGGGCGGTGGAGCTGGGCCCAGGAGCCATACGGGTATTGGGGAAGGTGTTGGCTCCCATCAGGAGTAAGAGAAAGACTTGAGAACTGTTTGCTTCCCTGAAAGTCATTTTCCCACCTGCTGTTGGGTCAGCAGCCACCGAGGCCCTCACCCAGACCCTGGATTTTCCACCCAGTCCCCACAACTGGACAGAGATATGACCTAGTCACTTTCCAGGCAATTTCCAGATTCCTCCCTGGACTCACATGTCTGGGGGACAGGGGCACCTTTTGGACTGACTGGTGATGCCCATTCACTTCTCCCTCTGCTGCTAGGGGCACTGATGGCAGCCTTCTGCCCATTCTGTAGATGGGACAGCTGAGGCTGGGGGAGGCTGGGCTGGGAACCATCCACAACTGCTGTCCCCTCAGCTCAAAGCACAGCTGTGCCTGGCACTCCCCAGCTGTCAGGCCGGAGTGACAGGTGGTGGCTGGTTTCAGCATCTTCCAAGCCTACATCACCCCTTCTCTGGGTAGCTGGAGCTTCACTCAGCCCTGTGCCCTTATAGGAACGTCCTATCTGAAGACATCTTTAGGCTGTTGGAGACTAGGTGGGAGCACCCAAAGGGAAGAGCAGCTATCATCAGGGAAAGCACTGCCAGAATTCAGACTATGAGGCAAGTTGTTATATAGACGGAGAGACAGAAGCCCAGAGTAGGTGAGTGGCTTGCCCAAGGTCACACAGCCAGTCAGTCCTCTGGAACACACGCCTCTCAGGGAGGTTTCAAGGATGGAGAATAAGGTGACATTGGCCAGCTGAGAGAGTTCC